GAAAAGCAGTCTTGAAGAAAATAACAAAGTAGGAGGCCTCACACTCCCGGATCTCAAAACCTACTATACAGCCACAGTAGTCAAAACAGCCTGGTATTGGTACAACAGACACATAGACCAATGGAATAGAATTGAGAACCCAGAAATAGATCCATTGACCTATAGTCAGCTGATTTTTGACAAAGGGCTGAAATCCATTAAATGGGGAAGACATGGTCTCCTTAACAAATGGTGCTGGCAAAACTGGGTATCTGTTTGCTGAAAAATGAAATAAGATCCATACCTCACACCATACACAAAAACTAATTCCAGATGGACCAATGACTTAAAGGTGAAACCTAATACTATAAAGTTCCTCAAGGGAAAAATAGGGGCAAATTTAGGGGCCCTAATTTGTGGCATAAATAGACTGTCAAGTATAATCGAAAATGCACGAACAGGACACCATCTATTCTTCTGGTTTCATAGTCATATAGGCTGAGGATCGCATGGTGTACCAGTCTCTTGGACTAATTGTTTCCAAGAATCTTTGGTTTTCTTCATTCATCTTTGCTTTGGACGAGAAGAGCCGTTGTTGCATCTAGATAGCTGCTTGCAAGCTTTTAAGATCCCAGTCACTACTCACCAAAGTAGGATGTGGAACAGTGTTTTTGTGTAGTATGTTATGCCAATTGAGCTTGATGACCCCTGCGACTATGGTCCCGAGCCCACAGGTCCAACTACTTGCTCCCTCCAGGTAGCTGGTTGTGGCCAAGAAATGACTTCAACCTTGTCCCTTGTCAGCTCTACTGTATACCTGGGAATTCTTACAGAACATAGCAATACACTTGTAGAAACATTGTCTGCCAACCTACAAATGGTCTTGGGCACACTCCCCCCTGCATAGACATATCTATTAGTTCAGCCTGTCCAACCATCTATCCACCCATATATCCATGTTTGCCTGCACTGACAATGCAGTATTGTATGTGCAAAAGGGTTCATCTTTGTTGTCTGTACCTCCCATGTACCTCTCTATGTCTTCCTCTTCCTTAGTGCCACCATGTTGATCACTCACATTTGGTACATTGCCCTTCACTTCACCTACCTATCTAACACTGTTCCCTCCCCCCACACACACTCCTGATAACCAACAAAGAAAATGTCCTTCCATATAGAGACCTTTCCTTGACTTTTTACAATAACAGACTAATACAATATTTCTCCTTCTGTGATTGACTTATTTCACTCAGCATAATGTCCTCCAAGTTCATCTACATTATGTGGTGTTTTGCAGATTCTGTGTTATTCTTTTGGGTTGCATAGTATTCCATTGTGTGTATGTACCATAGTTTGGTTATCCATTCTTCAATTGATGGACACCTAGGTTGTTCCCATCTTTTGGCTATTATAAATAGTGCTATGATGAACATGGGTGTACATATATCTGTTCTTATCCTGGCTCTTGCTTCTTTAGGATATATACCTAGTAATGGAATGGGTCAAGTGGTATTTCTAATTCCAACTTTTTAAGGAATTGCCATACTGCTTTCTACAGTGGTTGTACCATTTTATAGTCCCACCAGTAGCATATGAGAGTCCCAATCTCTCTGCATCCTCACCAGCATTTGTTATTTTCTGTCTTGTTGAACTTTGCTACTAGTGCTGAGGCAAGATGGTATCTCATTGTTGTTTTGATTTCCATCTTTCTATCAAATTCAAAAATTTAATGAAGTTCTCATAAAGAATGCTTCTCTTAACCAGAAAGAATAATGTAGAATCTGCAAAACATTGCATAATGTGGATGAACTTGGAGGATGTTATGCTGAGTGAAATAAGTCAATCACAGAAGGACAAATATTGTATTAGTCCATTATTGTAAAAAGTCAGGGAAAGGTTTCTATATGGAAGGAAATTTTCTTTGTTGGTTACCAGAGGTGGGAGGGGAAAGGAGGTAATACTGCTACATAGGTAGAGACAGGTATTAATTTCAGTGAAGGAAAGGTAGTGTACCAAATGTGAGAGATCAACACAGTGGCATTGAGGAAGAGGAAGACATAGAGGGGTGTATGGGAGGTACAGACAAAAAAGATGAACCCTTTTGCATATACAGTATTGCATTGTCAGTGACGGCAAACATTGATATACAGGTGGACAGGTGCGTAGACAGGCTGAACGATTAAGTATGTCTGTGCAGGGGGGAGTATGCCCATGCCCATGACCATGTATAGGATTGGCAGACAATGTTTTTGTATTGTGTATTGCTATGTTCTGTAAGAATTCCTAGGTATATAGTAGAGCTGACAAGGGACAAGGTTGAAGTCACTTCTTGGCCACAGCTTCTGGAAAGAGCAAGTAGTTGGACCTGTGGGCTCAGGACCATGGTTGCAGGGGACTGCAAGCTCACTTGGCATGACATACTACACAAAAACAATGTTCCACATCCTACTTTGGTGAGTAGCAACTGGGATCTTAAAAGCTTGCAAGTGGCCATCTAGATGCAATAATGGATCTCTCCTCATCCGGAGCAAAGAAGAATGAAGAAAACTAAAGACACATGGAAACGATTAGTCCAGGGGACTGGTACACCATGCGATCCTCAGCCTATACAACTATGAGACCAGAACTAGATGATGCCCAGGTACCACTGTCAGCCATTTGGAGGGGGATCTATGTAGGAGGTCCTGGATACAGTGGGAGAACAATATGGAACAAAACTCAAAATTATTAAAACAAAAAAATGGGGGGTGGAGGCCAGGTTTGCTGGTCTGACAGAGCCTGGTGGAATCCCTGAGATTATGTCCTCTAGCTGCCCTTTAGGTCTAGAATTGAGCCCACTCCTGTGGCTTCCAGCCAAACAAAAGACAGGCTGAACATTTACATTAGGTAAATGTAAATTGCTCTCCCCACTCTTTGGAGAGAACAATCATGGAAAAATAGAAGGGCTGTGTATGCACAGGGAGACAGCTCAAGGGGCAGGAGTACATGGGAGGGAAGGACACAGGGAAGAGGTAACTATGGGGAGGAAGTGGGAGGGGAGCTGTTGCATTGTGGGAGATTACAATCAGTGTTATGAGATGGTATATGTGATCTGCTGTATAGAAAATGAATTTGCTCTGTAAACTTTCACCCAAATCATAATGAAATTTAAAAAAAAAAAAATACTGCTTTTTCTGAGAAGTAGAGTTGGGAAGTATTAAGAGACATGCTGGACCATCTAACACCTGAATCCACTTTCTCTGATTGATTTTTTTTTAGAACATTTGACTTAGAGTTGTGCCTCCTTTCATTGGTTGGTTGGTGCTAATACTTTTTTGGCAGTTTTTGTTTTGTTTTGCCATTCTTATATTTATTTATTTTACTGAAGCATGGAATGAGGAAGAATCTGTAAGTCTGTAAGTACATTATTTTTAAATGGAATTCTCATTACATACTAATTTTATAATTAAGAACAGCAAATGTCTTTCAGTTACTTCTGATACATAGCAAAAGCTCAACCTTTGGCCTGTTTTAATTCTCTGAAAATGCCAAAGGTCACATTTTGATATCGTATCTTTTAACCATTCTAAGCTATCATTTGGGCTTGAGCTAAGATTTTGTTTACTGCTGGTTCTACCTTGATTATTTTAGCCCTGTTGTTCTTCTCCTGCGTAAGCAAACATGATTTAAGCATAACCGAGAAAGAGTGGCTACAGCTGTCCTTTCCCCTCTTATCTGTTTGTTTGGGTGCTGCAAGACTTGTACGTGGATACGGTTCTGAAAGTTCCAGGCTACAAGATCTATCTTTGTCCTTGTTTATAATTATTTGTGTGTATGTATATATATATACATTTTTTTTTTTTTTTTTCCTTACAGGAACCAAAAGTGAAAGAATCTGAAGTTAACACAACTCTTCAGATGCGTTTCTTTGGAAAAAGAGGAGACAGAAAACTTCATTATAAAGAGTTTCGAAGGTAAATGCAATATTTATGTTCATTGAGGGAAATATTATAGGTGAAAAATGAAAAAGCAACTGAATATGTTCATTTCTCTGAACCACAGGCCATATAACTAAATAGTCTTTGTGGGTTTGTATAGTAATTTTCTCTGACAACTTAAACCTATAAATTAAAGTCCTATCTTAGTTACCTAGTGCTGCTATAACAAAAATGCCACAAGTGTGTGGATTTGAAAAACAGGAAGTTATTGTCGCACAGCTTTGGAAACTAGAAGTCCATATCACAGCATCGACTCTAGGGGAGGAACCACAGCCCTGAGGAGGCCTTGGAGTACTTCACTCTGGCGTTTGTCTTTCCCACGTGTATCTCTGTGTTACCCTGCTCCGGTATGGCCTCATTAATATAACCAAAGAAGAACCCTCTTTCAAACAGGGCCACCTCCACAGGTACCGAAGTAGGACTTCAGTACATAGTTTGGGGCAAAATTCAATCACAGTAGTTACTGTACTCGAAATACATCTATCCTATTATGAAAAGTAATATCTTTTATAGCATATAATCAATCATTCTCTTTAGTAATTTAATGTTAGCAAGTAATAGAGAAATGCCCCTTGTACCTGTTAGTTCTTAATGCAAAACAGACCAGCCCAACTTAACTGGTCTTAACAATAATAAAAAAATGACCATTCACTGTTTTCGTGAGTCTTTGGATCATTGGGCAATTCTCCTGCTCGGAGCCAAGACCAGCTGATCTTGACTCAGGCAAGCATCTACAGTCAGCTGGTAGGTTGACTGGCAGCTCTCTGTCCTAAGATGGCCTCAGTGGGACAACTCAGCTCTGTTCCATGTGGCCTCTGATCCACTAGCACAGGGGTTGGCAAACTTTCTCTAAAAGGGCAGATAGTAAAGACAGTCTGCCATAACTACTCAGCTTTACTGCTTTAGCATGAAAGCGACCATAAACAGTATGTTGCTAAATGGGCACAGCCATAGTCCACTCAATACCTACAAAATAGGCAAACCAAGAAACCAGACTCACTGCCATCGAGTCTGTTCTGACTCATAGCAGCCCCAGCTGTGTTTCTGAGGCTGTAAATCTTTACGGAAGTAGATCGCCCCATCCTCCTTCCATGGAGTGGCTGGTGTGTTTGAACACTGACTTTCTGGTTAGCAGCCAGTGGTGTTACCCACTACACCACCAGAGCTCCTTACAAAACAGGCAGTAGGCAGGCTTTTTCTGTAAGCCATAGTTTACCAACCCCTGCTCTAGCAGGCAAACCCAGACGTTTCTCATGGCCCTGACAGAGTTCCAACAGAGAAGATAGAAATGCAGGAATTTTTGTAAGCCTCTGCCTGCATCAAGTTTGTGTCTGTTCTGTGGGCCAGAACAAGTCCCATGGCTCAGCCCAGATCAGAGTGCAAGGGAGCTCAGAGTTAGAGGGGAAGGGCATTACTTGAGACCATGAATGCAGTCACTCTAGTTTTTCATATATGTGTATGTAAGTAGATAGTGTAGGTACTTGGAGGAAACCACAGTCAGCTAAAACAGTTTCCCACATGACACTCTGGAGAGAGATGGACACTGGAGCCAGAAAGAGCAGAGTATAAATCCCATCCCACCAATCACAAGTTGTCATTTTGAACCGCTTATTTAACCTCCCTGACTTCATTTCCTCATCTGTAAGTAGGAATAGTAAGAATACTTACATTATATGATTGTTATAAACATTAAAATGTAATGTCCTACTTACCTTTTTCCCAATAAGAATAAACCAGTTGCTGTCAAGTCAGTTGTGACTCATAGTGACCCAATGTATGTCAGCATAGAGCTGTGCTCTGTAGGGTTTTCAGTAGCTGGTTTTTCAGTTCTTTCTTCCAAGGCACCTCTGGGTGGACTCAAACTTCTCATCTTTCAGTTAACAAGTGCTTGTACTATTGTGCCACTCAGGGAATCTCCAATAAGAAGGGTACTATGTTCCCTTGAGTCGATTCCTACTCATAGCAACCTTATATGACAGATAGAAGTGCCCCATAGGGCTGCCCAGGCTGGAATCTTTACAGGAGCATATTGCCAAGTCTTTTCCCCTGTGGAGCTGCTGCTGGGTTCGAACCACCAACCTTTTGGTTAGCAGCCGAGCATTTAACCACTGTACCACCAGCATACCTTCCCAATAAGAATAACTCCATGCAAAACAAATTGATCTTCCTCCCTGTGCCTCTCGATAACCAAGTCTTTAAATAAATACCAGAAAGCAGTACAGAATGGTGGCAAAAACACTGATTTGGAAGACAGGTGAACTGCATCTGTTCAACTTACTGCGGTTTAATAGAGATTTGTTGAGTGCTACCTAAGTGCTGTTTTGTGCCACACCCTGTCTCAAACACTAGGGATAGTCCCTCATGGGGATTATCTTGTAGGGGAGAAAAACATGCAGAGAGACATTTAAACACATTGTAGTCAACACTGTCGTGGAAGTATAAGGTATTCTGACGCACAGATCACTTAGTGCAGCCTCTACTGGAAAGGAAGAATTAGGTGATCAGATAAGACTTTCGGGAACAAGGGACGCCTAAACTGAGTTTTGACAGGTGAGCAGAAATTAGCCAGACAAAGGCAGTCTGGGCAGGTAGGCATTTGAGGGAATATGAATAGCATGAGTAAACACATTGCCATTGAGTGCTTTGGACTCATAACGATTCAATAGGACAGAGTAGAACTGCCCCAAAGGGTTTCATGGCTGTAATCTTTGTGGAAGCAGATTGCCAGGTCCTTTCTTCCATGGAGCAGCTGGTAGGTTTTATGTTTTGTTTTTCTTTTAAATTTGTATTGTGAGTTGGGTGAAAGTTTACCAAGCAAATTCCTTTTCCACACAGCAGTTCATACACATTTTGTTTCTTGACACTGACTTCAATCCCCACAATGTAACAGCTTTCTTCCCACTTCCTCCCTGTAGTTACCTCTTCCCTGTGTCCTTCTTTCCTATGCAAATACTGTCCTTCTGATCTCCCATGATTGATTGTTCTAAGGAGTCTATCTACCTGGTATAAATGTTCACCCCATATGCCTGTCTGTTGTTTGGCTGGAAGCCATGGGAATAAGTTCAACTCCAGGCCTGAAGGGTAACTAGGGTCCATAGTCTCAGGGGTCTCACCAGTTTCTAACAGACCAGTAAACCTGGTCTTTTTTTTTATGATTTTGAGGTTTGTTCCACATTGTTCTCCCACTCTATCCAGGATCTCCTGCACTGATCCCTTTCCAAGTGATTGACAGTGGTAGCTGGGAACCATCTAGTTCTTCTGGTCTCAGGGTCATGTAGGCTGAGGTTCGCATGTTCTACTAGTCCCTTGGACTAATTGTCTCCATGCATCTGGTTTTCTTCATTCTTCTTTGCTCTGGATGAGAAGAGACCCATTGTTGCATCTAGATAGCCGTTTGCAAGCTTTTAAGACTCCAGTCACTACTCACCAAAGTTGTTGTTGTTGTTATGTGCCCTCAAGTCGGCCCAGACTCATAGCGACCCCTCCTTGGGTTTCCGAGGCAGTATCACTACGGAAGTAGGATTGTCCAACCTTCCTTCCGAGGAGTGGCTGGTGGGTTTGAACCACCAGCCGTCTGGTTAGCAGGCAAGTGTCTTAGCCACTATGTTACCAGAGCTCCAACTCACCAAAGTAGGATGTAGAACAATGTTTTTGTGTAGTATGTTATGTCAGTTGAGCTTAATGTCCCCCACAACTATGGTCCCTACCCCACAGGCCCAACAACTCAGGGCTGGTAGGCTTGAAATGCTAACCTTTCAGTTTGCAACCAAGGGCTTAACCACAGCATTTCAAGGGTTAGAGGTATTTGGGTACTGGTTGTAAAGGGAATTGTAAGCAATTGGGTCTAGATAGTATAATAATCATAAAACTGGAAAATGAAGCATAGGGTGATGAGGTGATGAGTTGGAGACGTTACCTGTGGAAGGTTGTGTACACTAGAAGATAGAGCCTGAATTAAGTCAGTGGAAAGAGACCCTGAGGAGCGATACATAATAGGTACATGGTCAGGTTTGCCCATCATTGTAGTGGGAACATAAAGGAAAGTTTTATGAGACCATTCCAATATTCCATACAGGAAATGATAAGAGCCCTGAACCAATTTAGTATAAACAGGATTTTGAAATGGGAAAGATTTCGAGACCTAGTTAGGAGATAAGACTGATTGAGGAGCCCTCAGTGGTGAAGTGCTTGGCTACTAACCAAAAGGCTAGTGGTTCAAACCCACAAGGATATGGCAGTTTGCTTCCATAAAGATTATAGCCTGGGGCAGTTCCTCTCTGTCCAGTGGGGTCACTATGAGTCAGAATCAACTCGATGGCAGAAGGGGAATAGGAGGTAGTGACTGATTGTATTTGGGGAATGGGGGAGAATTCACGAGAATCCAAGTTTCTGCATTGTGTCCTAATCCACTTACGCAATTATCTGATTGGGTAAGTCCTCTAACCTCTCTAGGACAATTTTTCTCAACACAATTTTGAACCATGCCTCTTCTTACATACTTGAGAATATCACAATATCACTCTCTGATGTTCTTTGAAGTTTCAAAATGAAGTGTCATAGTTTAAAACAAGGCAAAGCCATCATCATACTGATTTTACTTTCCCAAACTACATTCACATGGACAGTGATGCAGTACCCCTTTCACTCAAGATTCCCTGTTCATCTCTAAGGTTCCTTCAGTCTTTTTTTTTTTTTTTAATTGTGATTTGGGTGAAGATTTACAGAGCAAATTCACTTTCTATACAGCAGTTCACATACACTTTGTCTCATGTCATTGACCACAGTTTA